CTTTCCGATGTTGTGTAAGGCTTTCGATCCGTTTTCCGTAACTTGCACATATTTGTTCAAAGATTTGGCAAGGTTGTGTATGAAGGGTAGCTCATACGTTGTGAAAAATAGATCACTTTCAAAATTTTCAAAAGATTAATTCATTCTTAATAATCAATCTTCAATCTCTCAACCTAATCCTTAGGTAATTGACCAAGCTCTGCGAAGATCCTTGAAAATTTTTCTTTCTTTCCTTTCAATAAGTTTGTTTTAAGTTTGGTTACTTCCAATTACCTCCGAGATGTTGAAAACCTTCCGAAGATTGACTTAACTGAGAGCTTAGAAATTATGGCAGTAAAGATGATCTCTCGTACTGTGCTTGCAATTATTCTCTGTTACACATCAATACGCTAAAAACAATTTGACAATCATTTGCGACATGCAAGCATATCAGCTCTTCACACAGATCAAGTTTTGTTATGATGGATATACCTGTTTCAGATGGCTTGATCAACTTTGAGAAACGCCGCAAAGAGTTCGAGGTCTTGGCAAAATTGCGGCTCTTCCAATCAGCTGCGCGTGCTTACCATATTCCTATGGATCGTGTGTTTTGCGCATGGTTTCACTTTTTGCCTTGTCTCTCTGAAAAAGAATGGTACGTCTTTTGTGACAAGGTTAATGGGAATCTTTGATACTAAACAGAAGTAGTTTTCAAAAGGCATTCTTGCAGTTTCAATCGCTCCTTGGAAATTGAGCAGCCAACAGTGGTGTCAACGCCCGACCTTAATTCGCGTCATAACACTTCGCAGTCAAATGGCAACTCAAATGTGTTAGCAAAAAGGTTCGTTTGATGTTTGCCTTTACGCGTCAATGCCTTTATTCCTTTCTTTTTGTGTAGAGGCATTGATCCCATTTGATATTGGCTTGTAGATAAAATCTTATATCTCATAAGTTGGTAGTTTTTCTGCTCAAGCTCTTTTGTTTGCGATGGTTATCGAAATGGTGACTTATGCGGATGTATCCCTCGAAGAATATGCAATCTAGACTTTTCATCCGAATGTTTTGTGAAATATCCTGACTCAATGAGATTTGGCTGTCCTTTAAAGACATGTGTGATGGTAAACTCGTCCTCAGTTACAC